ATTTGTTCTATAATAAATAACTCACCAACATCTGGTTATGTCCCAGTACCACTTCTCAAAAAAGAAAATGTTGACCCATTCCAAAACTACAGGCCTATTTCAAAATCAAACTTCATTTCCAGAGCTTCAGAAAAGTGGTTGCCAACAACTCACAGCTGCCTCAGACACACACAACATCCTTCATTAAGTTTCATGCTGGTTTTTGGCACGCTTGGAGGTGTGTGTGCTTCTTAATCTTAATCTATTGTGTATATTGTTGATGTTTTATTTTGCCTGTGTTTCGTTTATCTTCTTTGTAAAGCACTTTGTTGCTTAATGTTCTTGACATGCTATTGGCTATATTATTATAATAATTGTTATTATAATCACATAGCTCTGAAGCCATGTGAAACAAACAAAAAGAAACAACCTGTGAGTCCCTCCTAGATGTTTTTCAAAAGTCAGAAACATAGCCGGAAATATGAGATCAAATATGAGCTCAAACAGTTTATCTGAGCTGACTTAATATTTAAATTAATGCAAATGGACTTCCCACAAAGGCTGATGGCTTGGGATGTGTGTCATAACCTAGTCCCACTCAGTGCTGTACCTAGTGTTTATGCAAATCTCTCTTCGCAGTTAGTTTGCTCATTGCTATTCTTTTGGTTTGATCAGGTTAAAATGTTACCTGCGTTCATATCTGCTTCCTCAAATCATTCTGAGTTTTCCTTTCAATCACTTCTTGATGTGGTTTTTCATTCTAGTGGGAACTATTTAAGAGCACATTTTCACTGATTGTTCTAATTATAACAATGGCAGAATCTAACTGCTTATTTTTTTTTTTTTTATCAAGTGCTGAACTAGAGTACAAATTAAGGGATTTCAATGAAGTATTTCTATTAAATCACAATATTTCAATTGAGCATTATTATGTATTTTTGCAATTTTGAATTTGTATTTGACGAAAAGCAACAAGGGATAACAATTTTTTTTTTTTTTTCTAAAACATTTAAGTCCTCTGAAGTAGGATGCATTGCAAATTAAATTAAAGTTCTCAACAGTATAAAGAACCATTTAAAAAAATGTTATCTAATAAAGAAGATGTTTCAATTTGAGTTTTGGTTGTTACTAATCTTTTCCCATGCAGAGGCAGTAGTGTATTTTGATACTTTATTTAACAGAGTGGTAATACAAAATTAAAGGCTCTGTTTACTTCCTCTACCCCTGCAAAACTTGTATCCCTATGTATTACTTTTTAGTGAATAATAGTTACTTAATAATAAGTGGAATACCTAGTAACCAGTTTTGTGACCTGATCAGTGATAGTTTAACATGATCAGCCTATAGTTCTGTATGTTGACATTTATATTTCCCTTTCTTTCATCATGTTCATGAGTTTTCACAGAAACCACAGAAAAAAAAAAAAAAAGTACATTAATGCCATGACATGCAACTACCTCATACTGCTTTCCTTTTCAAGGTGCAGCACTCAATCTGTTTGCTGTGTTTGTGTGTAGCTATGAGGACAATGAAAATGTATGTTCCGTAACTACCGCTGTTAAGCATCAACATGCACATTGCAGAGCATCTTCCTATACATCCCACTGAACATTATCGTTGGTGAAACAGCTGTAGATGTTGCTCCCTCTGCCATGCCTGTGAGATGGATCCCTGCACTCCACTGACAGCACACATTCCATTATATCAACCAGCAGTCTCCGTCTCCTCCTCTGAATTATTGCCGCCCATGTTTCTTGCCTCAGCACCAAATTGGCTTAGCCACTAAATGAAGGATTTGAATAATACATTCCACCTATCTCCCTCTTTCTGCTCTCTACCCAGACTGCCTGGACTTCATTTGGTGACATTATAATCCTTTCAGTTGTAGTTCATGATTTACATGAAGCATTACTACTGCTAGCATTACAAAAATAACTCTAATCTGCGTATTACTGAAAGCAGTATAGCAGTCATTTTTAACTTTGATAAGCCTATATTAGATGTAAATATAATAATATTTGAATTATACATTCAGAATTATAATACAACCAGAAAATACAGGAAATATATACACAAAATTAGAATGAAAATTCACCTTAAAATGGCTTCTTGTCAGTATTTGGTGTGACCTCCTTTGCACTTAAAACATCTTGAACACATTTGGCTGTCTTCAAGTTTTCTTAAGTAATATTCTGGTACATTGCAACAGGCTTCATCTGCCTGTATAACTGTCTATTTCCACATGATCCCATACTGCCTCTATTATATTGAGCTCTTTTTTAAGGCGAGTCAATGACTGTCAATGTTTTATCAGCTGGTTTTCTCTCCATACATATGCTTAGGATCGCTGTGATGCTGAATATAAAAACTATTTCCAATTAGGCACTTTCCAGGAAGAATGGCATACATTACTTTGCTATTAATTATTTATATTCTAAAGATTGCCCAAGATTCTTGCACAGTTCTTTTTGTCAACAGGTTTGGGCACTAGCAACAGAATATTAAGTTGAACTTGTTTATTTACGATAGATTGAATGTATGTTCAATATAAACATCCATTGAACATACATTCAACCTTTAATTAACTGTGGAACAAATCTCTTTTAGGCTTTTAGAGCCATGTTCAGACTTTGCTTAGTCATTTTTAATAAAGGAATTAAAAAGATGAATAATAGAGACCACATTAACATTTGCCAGCAAAAGTAAAAAAAAAAAAAATAGCTGAAAGCATGTTGAGGTTTTTGTGAAGGTACAAATGCACTAATGTGCTGACCTGTTTCAAAGGACAATCACAGCAAACATAAATTGCAGCTTTAAAAACTAAACCTGAAAACATCAGTTTGACTCATAATGTAGCTGATCCATGCAAAGTGACAGAATAACAAGAGGGTTAAATACTTCAAAGTAAACAAGCCTGTTGCCCCATTGAGTCTAATGTGAAACCTGTTTGTTACTCCAGGAACCCTTTAAAACAGAAGGTACATGTCTAGATTCAGTGACACATTCAATTTGTCAATCAAGTAGGAGGTTGCATTAGACATCTGGATTTATTTAAACATACCCTCCAGTGTACATTTTACATTATTAATAGGCTGATCAGGAAAAAAAAGGTCCTAGCCATTGGGATTCAGAGCATGTACCTGGACGACATTAAATGTATTATACCCTAAGAGCGAATTCAGATAGGAAGGTTCATTATGAGAATCCATCAAGCCCAACCTCTCTGCTGCACTCTGATTGGTGCAGAGTCTTTATGTGTGTATGTGCGTGAATGGAAAATAGACAAACAAACATATCCTAAGAAATATAGATCATGTTTTTCTACAGTTAAACACGGGCAATGTCAGTGTTCATGTAGTTTTGTTTGCTCAATCAAAGCTTGAGAGCTCAGACTGTGACCTGTTCGGCTTTATTTTGCCAGCTGAGGCTCCTGATATCTTTAAACCTTCATTTTCTGAATTCGGGGTGGCGCACAGGCTACAGTGTCTGTATGAGGTCATGTATCATGCTCGGCCTGGGGTTTGTGAAGATATTAGGCAGCATTTAACAGTGTGTGTGTGTGTGTGTGTGTGTGTGTCATTCTCAGTGCTGCAGCTGCACCGCTGTGACTTCCTGTGCTGGGCTGTCCAGATCCACATTTCACAGCTCCAACGTGACTGCTGCAATGAGACAAGACATTGCAGCATCGGTGCCAAGTCCTCACACGGGCACTTGCTCCCTCTCTGAGAAGAGCATCTGCAGCCTGGCTGTCGCTTCCCGACTTGCTCGGGTCATCCCCTAGACTACGTCATTACAGAGGACATCAGGCTGCACTCTCCATAAATTAAATCTGGGAATGCGTTTACACAGGGACAGACAACGTGGGTTTAACCCTTGAGGCACAGACCTGATTCTATTTCAGCTATTAGCAGAGATATGTTCATTTTTCTTCCGCTGTCTTCGTTTTCTTTTTCAGCCACCTTTGCACTGAAAATTAGCTATAAGGTGTTAAATCCACCTTGCCATAACTTATATGTCGTGGTTAGTTTGTTTAAACCTAAAGGGGAGGTAATTGATCTCTTGGATATTAAAAATACAAACATACATGCATTTAAGAATGTTAGTATCCTCTCCTACTCCTTGTAAACACCTTCCTGTGTGGCACTGTGTGGATGGAATTCTGCATGAGTGGGAATTTGTATGCTGCTGCTTTTTGTATTCAATAATTTATCATTGATATGTATTGATTTACTTTCACTGAGACCACGGCTTGACCTCCTCGGTGAAGTATGGTCTACTTCAATAAATACCCTGCCTCCTCACTTTCTCTGCTCCCCCCTCCATTTAACCCTGAAATTTACAGACCTCTGCCATCACTATGTGGCAGTTTATACTTGTCCAAAGGGAGCCCTTAATGGTCTCCATTTACATTGCTGCGCCTGTGAACTGCTTTGATACAAACAAGATGCACTCACAGAAATTCAGAAGATTCACACCATTAGCTCTACATGTGAATATGAGAAGAAGAAAAAAAAAATCTAGTATTCCTCGTATTATAGTGTTTTTAGACTCCCAAAATCACCAAATAGCATTAGAGACACATTCAAGCCTCTTTGATTATTACGGAGCCCCCTGCTGGTAGGACCAATGGACTTTTGTCCAAAAAAGTATCTCCTTTCATTCAATACCAAATTAAACATACCCCCAACTAAGCTGTGAAATTGAGCAATTCAAAAGCATTCCCAGGGCAGATCAGAGGGGGGGGGGGGGGGGGGTCCTCATAGGCTGCTCGAGCCTTAAAGCTCTTGTGACGTCGCTGCTACTTTTCACTCTGTGACTGTTTTAATCAACTGGAAACTACTCAAGGTTTTTTTTTTTTTTTTTTTTTCAGAACACCGGCTATCATGCGTTTGTTTGCGCCTCAGCCGGAGGTGTTGCCATAACCCTCACGGCATCCGTGATGATCCGCCACCATTTATAGCCTCGCAGTGACAAACAATCTTATTATGAGATTTAAACTTTGCCTCGGCTAGACTGGAGGATCAACATGCGCTCCTCTAGCATTTCTTCCCCGCAGTTCTCCAAGTGATACATTACCTGCCTACAGCTTCCTACTTTATACCCGCCTCCTCTGATAGTGGTTAAACGCCGGTTTAGCTCTCAGTGTAATAGAAAGCCCAAGCAGGGCTCTGGGTCTGTTCAGCATACATAAAGGCGAGCTCAGTGCTGAATTTAATCACTCAGCTCTTAATGGATCTTTGAGACTCTCCATCGTCGCAGGCTGCTGCCCGTGTGCGTCTTCAGAACGAAAGCAGAAAACTGGATTCTTTTTCATTTGTTTTTGATTTTTTTTTAAGTAGCTTAGCTGACAGTTATATGAAATGTGTCTGTGAAGACGTCTCGTGTTCGTGGTGACATACAGTAAAGCTGCCAGCTTTGTGTCGGGAAGAGGCTCGCGCTCCGAGATCATCTAGCAGGTAAGCTGTTACTGTGTTGAACACATTTTACAGAGTTTACGCACAACATACTGTACTCCATGTCTCCTGCATTCAGTGCTAGATTTAGAGTCGATATTGAGTGCTTAAGGAACTAAGTGGTTGTATTTAAATAGTATTGCAGGGCTCTTTTGTGCACCATAAGAACAGCAAGGCTTCTATTATTGAATATATATTAAAACCTTGCAGCTGAACTTGTGCACCATCACGTTGAAGTCGGTCATGCTCCTTTTCTGCCGTATCTTTGGATGCATGTGCTTGTTAGCGGGACATGAGGGACACTTTTGTAGCTTACACTGCGATCCGCGTACAGCACATAGACTGTTAACTTTCTTTTTTTTCCATTTTTTTTTTTAAGTTTGAACAGTCTGTGTATCCACCTACACAGTGTCGCATTTAATGAGACAGTGCATTTGATACAGTTCCAGTGGAAGTAGTGGTTACTTGGCAAACCTCCGGTAACAGCGCCCGCTTGAGTTGTCACTTCAGCACCAGGGACAGCTCCGCTTTACCAGCAAAGATTCAACGTCAATTCCGACTCTCAGATAAAAAGTGTCTATTCACATTTATGTGAGAACTCGTGCTTTGATATAACACCCCGTGTTGCAATAAATCTTGACAAATAGAATAGTTTTGATGGTTTAAAACACAAATAAAAAGTGCAGTGTGTGTGCTGTACGTATCCTGTTGTCATTATACAGTCTTGTGCTTAGTACAGGAGTCCTGTTTGCAGTCTCACCAGATTATCTGAGGATTTTGCTGCGCCTGTGCCATCTGTCTAGGAAATACGTACTAGATACTGCACGCCTGAACGTGCTGATTTGTTTGATTGCAAAAGCCTTCAAATGGGTTTGATTTATTTCATTTACTTTGCAAAAGGCCTTGCTTCAAAAGATTAAACCTGATCCTCGGCCGCAGAAGGAGAAGGATGTGATGATGCTAATAATGGTGTGGGTATTTAAAGTCTAAAAATGCCAAAACAATAACAGGCTTTAAAAACAAAGCAACACATGTGGTAAGATGCAGCCAAAGGAATGACATGCCTATTGGAACAATCGTCTTGCGTTCCACACAGATGCACTGTGGATGAAGGCGTAGGGCTGCTGTATCATCTCTGTTCATTCTTAATACTGTGTTACTGTCTCAGTGACACTCAAAGCATGGAAAGCATTTAAGATAAAGCCCAAATAATCTATTTAATGCCTCTGCACTGCAGGAGTAGGACTAATTATGAGTGGCAACCCTTGATCCAGTCATACAGAACATCAGCCTCAGCTTAGCCTCGACCACCAGTCTTACTTCCTCCAACTTTAATGTCGAGTTACAACTGTTTCACAACATCTTAGTTTTGCTGCTGTTGCTAAAGCGCTCTCACTTTAGCCTTCACATCTTTTTTCCCCTCTTCCTGTCCCCGTCTCCCTTATCTTGATTATGCAGCTGGATGATTGAGTCAGCTATTTTGTATGCAAGTTGCCTTAGCCTGGTTCTTTGTGGAGGAGAGAGAAAGAGAGGGAGATCGTGCCAAGGATACTGAGAGAGAATTACAGCTTCTCATGACGTGGATGGGCTGGAAAAGACGAGGCTGCCCCGTTCAATAAATTGCTGGATGAGAGACAGAGAGAGAGCCTGTAGGGGACAGCGGTTTTTAAAAAATGTGTTCAAGTTTAATAAATGGAAATGGCAAAGCACAATTGAGTCTTCCACAGCAGCTGACATGAACTAAAGCATTGAAACAGTCTCTTATCAATTTCATGTGATATAAAAATATTTATCTGATTTGAGAATGGTACTCAGACGATCAGTGTCAAAAAATGCTATTTAAGATGTTTTCAAAATGGAAGGTTAACAAACCCCTATCTCTGTTTTTAAAAATGTTTACCTTCTTCTCACTGATGTCATGTTGTTGGGAAGTCGCAGCGTCTTGGCTGACTGCATGTGCAACCAACTGCTGTGGTTATACGGTTAACAATGTGTAAAGTGTAATCAAAGGGACGCGTCAGGGTGTGCTGCTGAGCTGTGAAACATATGGTACAACAGCACGCCAAGTTTCACTTCCACGGGTCTCCACACCCGTAAAATTCAAACAATAACTTCCTGTACAGTTGTCTGTTTGCCATTTTACGGGAGCTGTTGCACCACCTCAGTCTCAAGTGTACCGTGTGACACTCAACATATTTATAAAAAGAACACTGAGCTCATTGTGAAAAAATGTATAGACCGGTAAATAAGTTCCAGGGGGGCATATTAAAAAAGAGAGAAACATGTCATATATTCTACAGTAGCCATCATTGTTGTCAAGTCAAATCCAGTTAAGGATTTAAAATTTCCAATCATACTGAACAGTTTAAAATCAAAAGGTGGACTGTTCCACAGATGTGGAGCAGACACCTCAAATGCTCTGTCATGTCTGTTTTTTAGCCGGCATCTAGAAACATCCTAAGAGCATCAGGTGTGTCGTCTACTGTGCTCTGAATGGAACATGCTCGGACAAGTATTGTGTTGCCAGCCCATTTAAATTTTAAAACAAGTAATAAAATCTTGAACTAGATCCTGAAAGTGACAGGAGGCCAGTGGAGAGAAACCGGCACAGGAGTGATATGATCACGTCGTCTTTTTTCTAAATGGGAAGAGACGACGCAGCCACATCCATAACCAAGTGATGAAGAGACGACTGATCAACAATTAAAGACAGAGAGTTACAATAGTCCAAGCAAATAGTGATAAACATGTGGACGGCTCTCTCAGATTAATTTGGAGGAAGCCAGGCCTTTACCTTTTCCAGAAGTCTCAACTGAGCCAATCTGTTTGTTCAGATTTAAAAGAGACGTCAACAGTGATTTTGACTGTAGGAGACTAACGTGCCAAGAAAACTATCAATGCAATATAGGAGTAATATCAGATTTTCTAAATTCTGATTTCCAATGGATAGATTCTGAGACGTAGTTATGTTTGATGAAGTTATAACACATACGATTGAATTCCTCAGATGAAAATCTTAATGATATGTGTTATTTGATTAAAATTGCACTGTTTATGTTCGGTCTCAAATCATACGAGTTGAAGGAAAGTGAGGACCACTTAGTTAGCACAGCATAGGCATTCGACATGTACAATACAGGAAATCATTTCAGGGAACCCAGACTTGCAGTATTTTTGCTCTTATTACAATGAACCTCTTGTTAAAACAAAATGCCGCAGCTTGGTTTCTTTATCTAAGCATTGAAAAGACTTACTGTAAGTGTTGTTAAAGACACGGCCACCACTTAGTGTCAGAGTTGTGCTTCAGGTACATGGTCAAGTGATGAAAATGTTATTGACAGTAACTTAATCTTCAATAATGAAAGGCGGTTGATTGAAGATGTTCAATACTTTATGAAGACTTTAATTAGCAGGTAGGAAATACAAACAAACCGGCTGTCCCTTAAATGCAGCTGTACTTGCAAAACTCTTACCTGAGTTGATATTTGTTGAATTCTTCAAATCATTTTCAAACCTCACCATGTATCATCAGCTCAGACTCGTTTACTTCACAACATGTCTTTTACAAGATATGCATTGATTGGGTGGGTTTCTTGAAAGTTTCAGCAGTGGCTCTTTGGATCCTCTCCCACTCTTGGGAAATGACATGACATTTATGATGAATTTTTCATATTCCCTGACAAGTGATTAGCTCACCGAGATATGAAGTGCATACTGTGTGTACTTGAGAAGAAAGCAGGACACAGTCAAGTTGGAACGAGCGACAGTGCCATTGACAGCTTGTGGGGATCAAGCCGGAGATGTAGGGATTCACTTGAGGGTGTGAATCAGTCATAATTAATTTAGGAGTGCACAAAAATTAATCCACCCAAGATTGCCAGAAACGTTTCTCTGTAGTTTCCCCCAGCCACCTGCTGGCCGCCTTATGACAGATGAAACCCCTTTAGTAAACAAGCCACACAAAATGGCAGAGTATGAACATTGCTCAGTCTCTTCCTTGCCATCTTCAATGTAATTAGATGCCGGGATGCAAAACAGCATGACCGTGTATCTGCAGGCACCTGCTCAGCTGCGTGAATATCCTGAACACCGGAGCCCATTAAAGCCGCACATACATAACGGCTCTGTCACAGTCCAGAATCAGGATTTATGTATGACATTATAAAAAAAATAAAAAAAAACATGCTTCTTGTGACATCAGATTATGCACAAGATGACAAAGCAGCATTTTGCTGTGTGGAGCCGTGTCATTAGAGACAAAGAGCAGAAGGCCTAAACAGAGCTGGTTTGTAGATACACTGCTCTCAAACACAGATTCACATATGGAGGTCTGAATGAGCGCTCCAAAGCCAGCATGCAACATATTTCCTCTGTGCATTGCGCTTTGTAAACAGTCACATCCTTTATACTCTGTGCAACAACACACACAAAACACTGGCTCAAAGAAAAACAACAACAACCTCTCGCCTTCCCACCCATGTTATTATATGAAACTCAACAATTTCATTTGTGGAATTAAAAGAATGTACTATTCTTTATAAGAGTTATCAGCAGTGTGGGTCTATGCCAAAGCTATACGCCAACAGATAAGGATTACATAGGGGTCATGATTCAATACCACGGCCAGTTCTTCATTTAATTCCTTGCCTTACATTCCACAGAAGAGAAGCATATATGTTATGGTCGATTACATTTGACTCATACTTAGATACTTAAATCAGTGGAGTCTTATTATGTTGACATTAATTCTTTAATACACAGCTATACTGTACTACAAAATGATCTGGTTCATAACAGAAGGATGGTTTTAGACATTGTCTCGTCTGCTTTATTTTCTACATAATATATTTGTTTTTCTAACTGTCTTATACTACTTACTTATGTATTTGGCTTCCAAAAGAAAACAGCATTTTGATTGCATTGTGCCCTGAAAATGAAGAAATAGGACATGAGGATTTGCATTTGAGCACTCCGTTTAAATCAGACTAAAAAAGTTGAATTCT